TTTAGGTTAGTTTGGGTCTGAGTTTGGGGTCAGGATTGGGAATTTAGATTAATTTAGGAATTATATTGGGACTGGAATTGGGAAATTAAATCAACTTGTGAAAGAGATTGGGAATTTAGATTAGTTTTGGAATGATGTTGGGGCTAGCATTGTGATCTGAGATGAAATTTGGTTAGATTGGGAATGGCACTTGGGTTAGGATTGAGAATTAGATCAAATTGGGATGTGATTTGGTAGAACAGTACAGGACTGGGATTTGAGAATTAGGCTGAGTTGGAATTGGGATTGTGGGCAAGATTTTGGCATTATGTGATAGTTGTATTTGGATGGGATTTAGGTTTGGGAATTTGATATTTGATGAGGTTGTGATGGTATTGAACAAATTTCACTTTTAAAATACCACAAATCCAGAGTGTCGTGTTTGAAGTGAACATTGATAGGTGACACCAGCAAGTGCCAGAACATATTCGCGAGTATCTGTGACAAGCACTACTAAGTCAACCTGTATACAGCATGTTTATGCTGTAAAACACCCCAAAGTGGTCAACAGGGCTATTATTGAACACAGTTTGGCGCTGAGCCATTATTAGGACAAGTACCAAAACTTTGGTCAACGATGTGTGATTTAAGGAGGGCTTGGAAGTGTAGAAACTGAAATGTTTAGGGAAGGATTTAGGAATTCTAGCATTTGGGGCCTAACCAGTTGCCAGCACAGCCAGAAATGTTTGAATGTGCAATAGCTCAGAACTGGAGGAGCACGCATATCTCAGAGAGTTGTCAGGATGGAGGAGGTTAGAGGGGTACGGAGAGGTGAGACTATAGAGGGATTTGAACATCAAAATCAAGTGCCATTGCTTTCAGTTGTTGAAGAACTAAGTACAGAAACACAAAGGTGGAAACTAACTCTGCTACATAATAACAGTGGGAAAATACATTAAATCACTGCAGGGATAGAATGCAGAAAGGTGCTGATGGTGATTAATGCAATTGCATGATATTAATCCTCCTGGCATCATGGAACTCTCTATATTTTTTTCTTTATTCATTAACGGGAGAAGGACGTCGCTGGCTAGGCAGCATTCATTGCCCATCCCTAATTGCCCCAAGGGCAGTTCAGAGTCAACCACATTGCTGTGGGTCTGGAATCACATGTAGGCCAGACCAGGTAAGGATGGCAGTTTCCTTCCCTAAAGGACATTAGTGAGCCAGATGGGTTTATCCTGATAATCGGCAATGGATTCATGGTCATCATTAGATTCTTAAGTCCAGATTTTTTTAAAATTGAATTCAAATTCCTCCATCTGCCGTGGCAGGATTCGAACCCAGAATGTTATCCAGGTCTCTGGATTAACAGTCCAACGATAATACCATTGCCTCCCCATTAGTGAAAAGGAAGTGGTTTATAAAGTAACTGCTTCACTGTACTTGTAAATAACTCCATTTAAGCATTATGCCCAAAATTTCAA